CAGACTAAGAGCCACAGCCAAATGTAACACATGGGGCCAACTCTGTCCCTGGTGTATTGACAGTGAAGTCAGTTTGGACCCTTTAGGATAGATCAGGAAGTAGATGTGGGGCTACTGAACACGTTTCTGGACCGAGGAGATGTAAACTCTTGGGATTCAACCCATTCATATGTGTGTGTCACTCTCTTTTCCTCTCTTCCTGCTCTCCCCTCTCTGCTTCTCTCAGTCTCTATCACTTTCTATACTTGTCTTGGAGCTCTCTTTCTTGCTCTTTCCATGGCCACTTTTTATTCCCTGCCTTACTCTCCCCTTTACTTTCCCTTTGTTTTTCTCTCTCCTCCATTTTCTGCCTTCTGGACCTCTATTTCCCCTGTGATTTGCCTTCTGATCCCCTTTCTTTCTCACCCATTGTCTTTCTAACTCCCTTGATCTCCATTTTCCTCTTCCACTTGGCTGTGTTCTTTTCCCTCTCTGGGTTCCACCCTCTTTCTGTCTCTCTGCCTGACTTTTTCTCCTCTTCTCTAAACCTTTCTCCCACCTTTCCCTCGGTTTCTGTCGCTCTCATTCTTTTTGTCATTCACTTTACCCATTGCTCTCTGATTCACCATTTAACCACTCCCACCCGCACCAATTCCAAAAACAATAAGCTCTTTAAAAAGCAGCAGCTCCATGGTTAAGCTGGGTGGTGCCTGAGGCTAGGGACTGAGCTCCCTCTCCCTGCTTTCAATGCTAGCTCTGTAACACTAGGAAATATGCAATATAGACAGAAGGGAACATGGCTCCCAGCTGTGGGATATGAAAAGACCGGTGTTCTGTGCTGATGGTGTTCAAGCAGAGGGAACTGTGAAGACAGGGGATAGCTATAAGGCTAGTTCAGTGTCTGACACGAGCAGAGTGCATTTGTTGATAGAGTGGCAGAACATACATGGTACCTCTCAAACACCCATCATCTGAGACTTGTATTTACTTCCAATCCATTCAAGCATGGAGTTCTGTCACCTCTACTGAAAATCTTGTGGATCATGCATATGAAGTCATGAAACTCAGAGTTTAGACTTTGTCACTTATGCTACAAAACAGTGGTTCTTAAGGTTTTTTCCATGCCATAAGTGCCCATATTACAATAAAGTATGGGGACACCACTCCCACCTAGCCACAAAGAAAGGAAGGGTGGTTGCAAACCCCTCCCTGCCCCTCCATTGGAGCTATTTGTGATTCCTCTGGGTCACAAGCTCCCATGATGAGAACCCATGCTATGGAGTAATCTCCTGTTTACAGATCCCTGCGCTGTTTTCCCTGTGTCCCTTATTGTTGGGTCCCACATCTGGGCCTCAGTGTAAAGCCCTGGGTACAGAAACACTGCCTGTGGATCAGCTTTGAGTTAACAGGTGTAGAACTGTTCCTTTGTGCCGTAGTCAGACAAGGGTTTGTCAAACAGCGGTCAATAGCCTGGGGAAAGTCTGACTGGAGAGGGGAAAGTTGGCATAGGGCCTCGGGTGTTAGCTTGGACTTTGGAAGACAGGGTTTAATTCCCTACTCCACCACAGAATTCTGTGTGACCTGGGGCAAGACACTTAGTCTCTCTGTGACTCAGTTCCCCATCTGTAAAAGGAAGGTAATAGCACTTTCCTATCTCTTGTCAGGGCTGTTATTAGGAAAAATACATTGAAGATAGTGAAGTGCTCACATATGAGAGTAATAGGGGCCATACACGTATCTGGGGTAGCTAGACAGGCATAATCATGGGTGTACTTTTAATGATGGAGTGGACCTCAGGCTAGTGAGTTAAACCCTTTATTTATAAAATAGTTTAAGAGATACCCATATATTTTTACATGCTATATACTAGAAATTTTACACTTTAATGAAGTTGCAGCCTTTCCCTTGAAATAGATTAATCTTATTTAATGGGTTGAGTTGTAGGGAAGTTGTTCTTTCAGAGTATCCATGGCAAGAGGGAGTGGACATTACATAAGAGTGAAGAGTCATTCAACACACAAAAATCAGTAAGAAACGTTATGTGCAGCACTAATATCAAGAAAAAAAGATGCTCTCCGGTGAAAACAAACCTACGGTTGACTATTTTTCTGGGAAGCACTGCATCGTTCATATGCTCACAATGGATTCATCTGTCAATGTACACTCTTTACATGTGCCATGTAGTATTACAGCAGTGACACTAGCCATAGGACAGGACCTGTGACAAGATGTGGAGGAAGGAACTTGAGAGGAGGTCATTGTACAAATATATTTATTTCTGCTATAGCTAAAAATTGAAGATTTTTTTTCCTGCTCTGTAGTTTGAGGTAGAGAAATATGTTCCTTTGTTTGCTGAATGCTTCCCACATAAACTCTTATTTAAGAAAAAATACCATCAAATAGTGGAGGTTTTTAAACAAAGGACATATTTTCACTTGGATTGAAACCATTCAAAAGGGCAAAGTATACAATTTGTATCACTAATTTACTGTAATCAGTCTAATGCTTCAGACATCAATAAACTTAATTATTTTCCATTTAATGTCAAAGTAATTACTCCAAAATGACATCAATTTGCCATCTTAGAGAAAACAAAAGTAATAAACCTTTCACTTCCCACATTAAAAAGCCTGACACCAGTCCTTAATATAAAATCTAGTTATATAATACCCTAGTATAAATATTTAAGATGGACATCTAAATTCTTTGTCAACAAAGATTTCTTAACCTCCACTAATCCACCTCTTATTACCTACCGTTAAAGGGACCCATTTACTAAATAGCTTCTTTTTAATCTGTCAGACCCTGGACAATTTTACATGTCTCTCACAATGTTTTCCACTAAATGACCTTTAATATTATTTTGATTCCATCTGCAACTGTCTAGGAATCTCCACCCTCTCCCTTTGCTATTCTCGTTCACTTAGGATATGTCTACATTATATCTGGGAGCATGCTTCTCAGAGTGAGTAGACAGACGTGCTAGCTCTGCTCAACCTACCATGCTAAAAATAGCAGTGTGACCATGGCAGTGTGGGCAGTGAATCGGGCTAGTGACCCAAGTATAAGCCCAAACAATCACCTGGTCCCATTGCTATTTTTAACATTGTAATTCAATCTGAGCTATCGCTACCCATATTGGGAAGCATGTTCCCAGCTGCAGTGTAGACATATCCTTGGTGTGAAACTCTGGCTCCACTGAAGTTAATGCAAGTTTTGCTGTTCAGTTCAGTGGGGGCAGGATTTCATTCTTAATTTTTAATCTTGTCCTAAAACATCTCTTCCTTCTGCTCCCTACTGTTGTGCATTGATATTTCTCCTCTTGCCTTGTAGCCCAATTTTGCACTTGCTATAGGGGTTACCATTCTGAGCAAACATCTCGTCACCAATCCTGCAAAAGGATCCATGCAGGCAGGTTCTTAGTGTCAACTACACATTGACTTGGAGGTGTAAATTCCAACTGGAGGAGACATACCCGTTCTAGCTTTGACCAAGCTAGTGCTCTAAAAATAGAAGTGTAGCCACTGCCACCTAAGTACTGGGAGGGGCTAGCCTCCCCAGGACACACCTGGCATCTTGGACAGATATGTACTCAGTTGCTATGGTGCGAATGGTGGGAGGGACTAGCCTCCTGAGCACATGCCTGGCATCTTGCATGGGTATGTACTTGGGTGACTAGCTCTGGGACAGCTGAATACGTACCCGACCAACAAGCTAGGCATGTACTTGGGAAGCTAGTCCCTTGCCCCGGAGAGCTACTCTTCTATTTTTAGAGCACAAACTTGATCAGAGGTTGGGCAGGTATGGCTCCTCAAACTGGAAATTACACCTCCAGCTTAAAGTGTAGACATAGTGTTAGACCTACATGGAGTCCCAAAGAAGTCATTGGTACTCTGCGTGGGCCTAAGGATCTATCAACATAGCTCCCTATGTAGGATTAGGAACATGTCTGGTTACAAAGAGAGGGCCCAAGCTATGTCTGCATTTCTCCAGTTTGTGGATGTACAAGTTAAGGGTCTAAGCTTGTCTCCAAATAGCTATATGGGCCAGTACTGAATTTTCCTGATGATCAGGTATGTTATCCTGGGTTTTGCTTTGTGCACAGCTCTAAATCCAATTTTAAGAACTATGTATTAAAATATTATAATAGCTCAGTTGCAGGGCATTAAAACCAAACCATGGTTGTGGCAGGGGAATATTTATGACTATAATCCCTAAGATTTTTGAAATAACTTCTGAGGTTTTAGTCATGGAATTTCATAAGAGTCATGTTGTTAGATCTCATACTGCTCTTTGGATATTTTGGATAATGGTCATAACATTAAAAGCACCTAAGACTATTCTTCAAACAAGCTGACTCGAATGGCCAGTGAAAAATTCTTACCCATTTTTGAAAAAAGTGTCATGGAAATTTCCATGGAAGATTGTTCCATTGCATACACACATCTCTTCTGAAGAGCATAGTGATTTAGAGTCAGATTCCTACTTACAAATGCTATTGTTAATCACATTGGGCCCAGTCTTGCTGCGCTTTCTTGAGAGGTGTTGAGTACTTAACACCTTCTAGAATTGAGCCTATCATTTTTACTTATACACCACCTCAGCTGTGCATTTTATAGACAAGCTGAGAATCTAACCCAAAGTTTCTATCTTGAAGAATTTACAATGTAGAAAAGACATGAATTCATATAGGGCGAGATGACAGTCTGCAAGGAACCCAGGAACAAAAGGTGGTTGAAATGGTAAAATGTCCAGTGATTGATTGCAGCCACACCAAACATCATTGTGTGTGTTCTATATTTATGTTAATTTATTAAATGTTCCTATTAAGCTGCCTCATGAGGTGTATGGAAACCAGAGAGATGGGGGCCGTCTAAGAACTTTGATTGGTAGGTACAGAGTGTGGGTCATTGCTGGAAAAGAAGTGGGTTTGGAGGAAAGATTGGAAATGATTTACTTCATTAGCCTCTGTTGTCTCTTAGAGGCTATTCATGTCATAGAAGAAAAACAACCAGAACAGGTTTGATAGCATACTAAGCTTTAATCTAAAAAAAGATTAAATTCAAAATTTAGCATTATAAAAGGATATCAAATTTTGAATAAAAAATGCTTTTACAAAGAAAACACACATTTGCCCCCTCCCCCAAAAAACCCCCAAACACCTTAGCACGTTCTTTTTTTAACAATTCCAATGTATGCACAGTCTCGTAGCAATATTTCAGCATATATTCACATGTGGAATTTAAATGAAACATTTGTTTCCGTAACAAAGATTTTTCATATGTGAGTTTGAGCCAGGTCATCCTTCTGACTAGCTAATCTACATATTGCTCCCAAGGCAGGTCCCACACAACTTATTTTAACAACATGGAATAAAACTGCTGCTCATTGCAATGTGCCCACCCCTCCATATTATGGTTTTTAGATGCCAGCAGTCCATTTATCACTGCATTGATCAATTCAATTACTTATAATTCATTTTCAAGGTCTGAACCTTTTTTCAAGTTTCATTCTAGTTCACATCTGCAAGTTCCTGTTCCCTTGAGGCACTCCAAAAGAAAGAAAGAAAAGAGAGAGAGAGGGGAAAACATGACAGAAAAGGTATGAAAACTTGTAGGAACTTCTCCCAGGGAGCAAGGAGAATGCCCAAGGCAGGGGTTTTTCTGGCTACACCTCCTTACGGCAACTATTCATAATTTGTTCTGTGATAGCTTTACCGTCTCATGGACCCTGCGGCACCCTCAGGAACGGATGGGGGCTCAGCCAGGTGTAGGGAAAACAAAAGACAGACAAGTCTGTTTAGCCTTCTTTGTCTCTTCATAATTAGATTTACAATACTGAACAACTGTGACCCTTTGCTGCCTTATGCTGACTGCAGGAACATGCTCTAGGGCTTGACAGAGGCTAACTTGAGTGATATTGCTTTTCAGTTAGTTGCATGACTAATTCAGGCAAAAGGGCATACTCCCTCCCCATACACACACCCTCACATGCACCCAAAAACAAACAAACAAAAACCTTAGTCAAATTTATAATGGAAGGCACCTCAAATGGATAAAATACATTTTTCTACAAGAGCCCTAACCATAGAATAGCTGTTGGAATCTTTTAGTGGTTGCATTCTCATTGCATTATCTTTGGAAAGCAAAATATTAAAAACAAAATGTCACCAGCGGGGAAATATCCATTCACTTAGAGGCTGCAAAAATGAGTCAACAGCAATTTTCACACTTCCCTTGGACTTGGAAACATAAAATCTCCAACACTGCTTGGACAAAATTGTAAATACAGTAGATCTTAAGCAGTTTTTCAGCATAACTATGTTTAAATGACTGTATTGGTAAGGAAAAACAAGGCATACTATTGAAACCAAGATACCTAGAGTCAGGTTTCTATATTAATGTTTGCAAGAAAGCTGCTTAAAAAAAAATGTTTAAATGCAAACTTTTACATCTCCAACACGTACAGATTTCATACGACAAAAGAAGGCACATACATTGTATGTGATAATTTTTCAAACTAGCTGTTACATTTTCACAGATTAAAAAAACAGTCTGTTTAAATATCTCATTTCTACAAGTGAATTTACATTTTAAAGTACAAAGTGCAAATACTATGGTTGTTGTTTTTTATTGCCTTTTGGTGAGGAAATCTCCCACATGTCAAAGAGATCTGGCTTGAATATGTAAGCTGTTCATCCTTGCTTCTTAGAGCTTTGCTGAAAAGATATTTTTTAAAAGGTTATATGATTAGTGATGCCTGCAGGTAACTTAATACACATACCAACACTTATTATTTATATTCCAGTGCTGTCCATAGTCCCCAGTCAAGTTAATGGCCCCATTGGGCTGGATGTTGTACAAACACATAAAAAACAAACCTTGCCCCCCCAAAGAATTAATCTATTTTGCTGTCCATGTAGATTGACAAAAGCAACATCTTTACAACCTTCTACCTATGGCATCCTTGGGTTCTGCAATACACAAAGCTCTAGATCAGTGGTTTCCAAACTTTAACAACCTGTGATCCCCTATCACTAAAATGTCAAGTCTTGCAAACCTCCTCCTAAAAATGAATATTTCCAGGGATTTTCTCCTTTATTTGAGTATAAATTATAAAAGCAGTGATCTTGAAAATATAAAATTTGTTTTTATGACATGCTTATTACACACTATTTATTATTAATTATTTATCATTACAGTATTTGTATTACATTATGAAAACGGCAACACTCTTCCAAGATCTCACTTTCGTAGCTTGTATCGCTTTGAATAAGCCTGTTATAAGACAAGGATCTTATGTTTCATCAAGGAGTGAAACAGCATGAAGGTATTTAAGAAGCCAACTCAGAGTTCCTGCTACACAAGCATTCAGGTCTTGAGCAGTCCAGGCAAACGACACATGTTACAACAAAGCTTAAATTTGTTCTTCATAATACTTTTAAAAACAACACTAGCTGCCTATTTAATTTTAATAACAGCAAAAAATATCCACCTCCCTTTTCCATTTCTTATAAGGAGTCTTGACGTTTAAATCTCCTCAGTGTGATAGATGTGCTTGCTTTGATCTGCTTAGCTCCTGGAAGTCTAGGGGCTCTGGGCTGCTGACCCCGTGCTGCCCGGGGTCCTTAGGGACACCTCTGGCTGCCATTAGGGAATTTTTTCTCTAGAACCCCCTGTAACGTTTCGCGAACCCCAGTTTGGGAACCATTGCTCTAGATAATAACAGCTATCATGGTGGGATAACCTGGGTCTTATATGGATACTGTATGTTTAAGGGGGTTCTGGTTTTCTCACAAAGAGTTCTTCAGGACTCCTTTCTGAGCAAGTGCAGCACGAGTTGGGAATGAGAGAGCTGTTGGGTTTCTTTCTTAGGAGCTTGTCTTGGTTGTTTGCTTGTATTTGTTTGTATCTATGATATTGAGCTGCCTTTTCTACAGCTATGCTGTTAAGTTTCTTCTCTAAGCTTTACGGATCAGTGAACTTCACACTGTAAGAAGACGTGCTTTCTGAGATAGTGTGAGCCTAGCTCATTAAGAGTTTAGTAAATCAGGACTACAAACTGGAAATTAATCTTCCCATCTATGCAAGTTGCAGAACCCTATAATATGCTTTCTATGGCATGTGCCGCGTAGGAAAGAGACCACTGGCAGATGCCGTATGTACCAGTTGTAGTTTCACTGCACGTTCCTCTAGGCTGCATGTGTCCTTTCTAAGAAAATGTGGCCTTATAATTTTTATATTTTCCCAATATGGCTCTAACTGATATAGATTCATAGAAATGTAGAGCTGGAAGGGACCTAAGACCCACACCTAGTCCAGTCCTTTGTGATGGGGCAGGACCAAGTATATCTAAACCATCTTTGACGGGTGTTTGTAGAATATCCAGTGCTTAATTACCTTTACAGTTGGAAAGTTTTTTCCTAATCTCTAACCTAAATCTCCCTTGCTGCAGATTAAGCCCATTACTACTTCTCTTATCCTCAGTGGATGGACATGGAGAACAATTGATCATGGTCCTCATTATAACAGCCCTTAACATATTTGAAGATTGTTATTAGGTCCGCACTCAGTCTTCTTTTCCCAAGACTAAACATATCTAGGGTTTTTTTAGCCTTTCCTCATAGGTTGGGTTTTCTAAACCTTCAATAAAAACATAAACATAAAAACGGCCATACCGGGTCAGACCAAAGGTCCATCTAGCCCAGTATCCTGTCTACTGACAGTGGCCAATGCCAGGTGCCCCATAGGGAGTGGAACTAACAGGCAACGATCAAGTGATCTCTCTCCTGTCATCCATCTCCATCCTCTGACAAACAGAGGCTAGGGACACCATTCCTTACCCATCCTGGCTAATAGCCATTAATGGACTTAACCACCATGAATTTATCCAGTTCTCTTTTAAACGCTGTTATAGTCCTAGCCTTCACAACCTCCTCCGATAAGGAGTACCACAAGTTGACTGTGCGCTGCGTGAAGAACTTCCTTGTATTTGTTTTAAACCTGCTGCCTATTAATTTCATTTGGTGACCCCTAGTTCCTGTATTATGGGAATAAGTAAATAACTTTTCCGTATCCACTTTCTCCACATCACTCATGATTTTATATACCTCCATCATATCCCCCCTTAGTCTCCTCTTTTCCAAGCTGAAGAGTCCTAGCCTCTTTAATCTCTCCTCATATGGGACCCATTCCAAACCCCTAATCATTTTAGTTGCCCTTTTCTGAACCTTTTCTAGTGCCAGTATATCTTTTTTGAGGTTTTTTTTTTAAAATCAGGGTTGGAAGGGACCTTAGGAGGTCCTCTAGTCCAACTCCCTGCTCAAAGCAGGATCAATCCCCAAACAGATTTTTGCCCCAGGTCCCTAAATGGCCCCCTCAAGGATTAAACTCATAACCTTGGGTTTAGCAGGCCAATGCTCAAGCCACTGAGCTATCCCTCCCCCGTTTTTTAAAATCATTTTTATTGCTCTGTTCTGGACTCTCTCTAGTTTATCCATATAATTTTTTGTTCAAAATTGGACACAATACTCCAAAGAGGCCTCATCAGTGCCAAGTAGAACAGGTCAGTTACCACATCTCTTACATATGACATCCCTGTTAATACACCCCAGAATATTTGCCGTGTGTGTGTGGGGGGACGGGTGTGATGTGTAGCAGGAAGCTGAGTAAAGCAAGTGACATGTGACTACTAACCTAATTCTTTGAACTCTATTATTTTATTTCAGATTGAAAAGTCACACATGAGACTATATCAACTTTGGTGTATGTGCCTGTATCCATATATTCACACAATCTGTGTTACTGAATATGGGGTAATGCTTTGTTCACTCTTCCAATTAAAAAAAGAATTACTAAGGAAAATGATGTGGTCCTTCCCATGATGATTCTTGTTCAATTGCCTATCTTCAAAGTGGCTGATTTGACCATTCTGTTTTAGGCAGGTGGTTTCTTCTGAGTAGCTCCTAACAGATTACTTAATTTCCAATTTTCAGGGTAGCAGCTGTGTTAGTCTGTATCCTCAAAAAGAACAGGAGTACTTGTGGCACCTTGGAGACTAACAAATTTATTAGAGCATAAGCTTTCGTGGGCTACAACCC